CGGCCATCTTTGTAGCAAAATTGCTTACTAGTTCCCTTCCTCTGCTACACATCTGACCACTGACCGCTCCCCTTCTCTTCCCCTTCTCTTTCCTACTACAAAATATATACCCTTTTTCAACAACTCAGCCTCTTCTCTTAAATACAAACCACAAAATACACCTGGGATTTCTCCATTTCTTCTCCACAAATACAAAGATGTGTGCTTTTTTCCTCAGAAATGGTTCTAAAGCCCTCCACCATCTCTGTAAAAAAAACCCCATTGAACCTTTGATTTTCAAGAACCATATTGTTCATCACCAACTTCAACATTCTAAAGTCTATTCAAGATTACCTCAATCTTTTTACAGGAAAAATAAGGAACTTGTTGAGTTGTCAAATCCTAGTTTTCTGTCTTTCTTTTCAGGGGTTTCAGCCTCTGCTTCAAAAGTTGGGTTCGTGGGTTGGTACTTAGAGAAAATAAACTCTCGACCCATTCTCACCAAGAGTATTACTTGTGGCCTTATTCTCACTGCCGCTGATTTCTCCTCACAGGTACTTTATTCTCAGCAAAGCATAAAGAAATTAAACAAAAAAAAAGATTCTTTATTTCAATGGATGTTTCTTGTTCTGGTTTGGCATAATGCTTCTGTTCTTGTTTACTTTATATATAGGTTTTAAGATTCTTTGGAAGTTACTTTGTTGAAAAAAGCATTATTAGGATTAAGAATCATGTATGCTGTATGAAAATAATTTTTGTCATGCCAAAAGCACCAAAATCGTCCAATTGTTGTGGTTTAGTGACAAAGGGTTTACAATTGCAGAGGGTTATGAAATAGTTGTTGCACATAATTTGTGTGTTCTTTCTTTTTAACTTCTTAATCAAACGAGAAAAATGATCTTCCTCCTCCGGATACCTTTTTCACCTTAGTTAAGCATATAGCTGAAATAGCGCGAACCGTTGTTCAACCAGGAAAAAGTAGCTAGATGATGCTAAGTTCCCATGGAGTTATCCTTACTATTATGTATAGGATAAGTGATCTTAAACCTATGAGTAAGGACTTATCCCAGCAGCTCTTAGATGTCTCTTCTGCATCTCAAATGTCAATGCATTTCTTTCATTCAGAGAATAGTGTGCTGTAGCAGCCACGGTCTATCCATACTGACCATACCTTCATTGAATCTTTCACCTATAAAGTTCAGAATTAACTTGCAATTACTTCCTAGTATTTTTCGGTTTTTTTACATTCCGAACTGTTATAGTCTCACGCAAATCCACTCTACCTAACATATGCACTATTCAAAGTCACTTTTGGCTTCTGATTCATCTTCATCTAGAAGTTCGAACTATAGGACATACACTATTCCTCCTGTTTGTGGCCTGTCTCCACTGTGGATCCAAGTGATAAAGGCATCTATAAGAATAGGACTTTTTGAACAAGTTCGTGAGGTGCTTCTGCCGCATTGGTTATCATACAATAACTGGAGCCGACTTAGGAAATGACTTTACTTAAATGTCAGATGTCACAGTGCGAGATGAGGATGCGACTTGTCTGGACTCTGGTCTTGCAGTGTGACATCCTGTTACTAGAATGAAACACAATCTTGACTTGTGATGAAGACTCCTTCGACTCGCTTGGCAAATGTGAACGTTAATATTAGAAAAAGATGCCTTAAAACATGTTATTGAATTGAGTTGGAGGTCCCTTTCTTTCCTACTACTTGACCTGAAGTTTATAGATTCTTTCGCCTGGGATTCCCTAAGTAACCAAACAAAAACCTTACACAGACGAGCTATTAGAGTACATAATTGAGCTTTTCGCCATTATGTCTTTCTGTCCAGCATCACTGGAAACCGCTCTTATGCATCTTGGTCGGTGGAGGACAAGAAAACCCGCCTAAAATTGGAGATTCCATTTTTCTTATTGTTGAAGGAGCATAAGCTTCAATTAATCTGCTTCATCTCCTTGCTTATTAGATATCTTCTAGGAGTAGCTGGAATAAGTACATTAAGCACGAAACTAGCTAGTTTCCCCTCTAGGCGTAATTGTTGTATCATGTATGGTGTAGTAATAGTACCTATAAATCTTACTTGTCCAAAAAAGAACCGGTAAATCTTGTTTAACGGCACTGCAAAATATCAAAATCTGTTAGTTCTCTTTCATTTTGCTCTATATATAAATATGTAATTTGCATCTCACCTGTTTTCTGCATCATCCACTCCCCTTTTAGTTTTCCTCTCTATTCTGGTTCACCTGTGGAATAAATCCTTACACGTTTTAATCTTTTTCCCCTTGTTCTTTGGATTCTCTATTCTGCAGACAATTGCTGGGTCATTGATGGAGCAGTATGATCTCGCACGAACATTGCGGATGGCTGGTTATGGAGCACTAATTGTTGGACCTTCACTTCATTTCTGGTTCAATTTTCTGTCAAGGTGCTTTCCAAAGCGTGACGTCATCACAACATTTAAGAAAATAGCTTTGGGACAGACAGTCTATGGCCCTGCAATTAACTCTATTTTCTTCTCCATGAATGCTGCAGCACAAGGTACAATTGGGTCCTGCTTTTAGATGTTCTGAGTTGCTTTAGTTAAAATATTTAATCAAAGCTGTAACTTACCGTCATCAACTAAATAAAGTATCAATGAAGCGCTCTAGACATTGGGCAATTTATCACACGTTTGAACCCTCAAAATGAAAGATAAAACTTGTACCAAACTTGTGTGAGAGTGTTGGAGAGGAGGGCGTAGGTTCAGTGACATGAGAGAAACCAACTGCTAACATCTGGGTTTGAGAGATAGTGTACCAAACTCTGTATCACATTATCTCAGAGGTCATGGACCAAAAGTAGCTACTGCAGAAACCAGTAAAAGAAATTTAAAATTAGATTAGGAAGATCTGTTTGTTAAAATTGATACAGCATAAGATCTCAGTCTCTTCGTTGGCAAGCCTTCTTATGCTTCATTCCCTTTTTTCCTTTTTCGTTTTTATTTGTCCGTCAATTTTTACAGGCAAATGGCTATCCATCATTCTTGGTGATTTGGAATTTGAATGTGTTGTCAGTTCTCTTTATTTGCTGAATGGATATGAACGAACTAGCAATAATTGTCAACATCTATTTGAACTCTTTGACTTTTCCTTCTTTTCTTTTTTCTGAATTACATTGAGCATTGACTTTGAATGTTTTTTTTCACTAATTCTAATTATCGGATGCTACACCAGGTGAAAGTAGTTCAGAGATTGTTGCCAGACTCAAGCGCGACTTGGTTCCCACTGTTGTCAATGGTCTTATGTACTGGCCAATATGTGATTTCATCACATTCAAATTTGTTCCCGTTCATTTACAGGTATGATCAAGGTCTCATCGACCTCTAATGTCACTATACATAACTTCGGATTAGGTTCAAATCCCTCAACTCTCAATTTGAAGAAAATGTTCTTTTTTCTACCTTCATTTTCAATAGAGGGCTATGTCTCTATCCTTCTCTATAAATAATATATATGTATGTCTATTTGAGATGGCAACTAACGAGATGTAATTACTATATTGACAGCCGCTTGTAAGCAACACATTTTCGTACTTATGGAATGTGTACCTAACGTACATGGCAAGCCAAGAGAAAGTCTCTACGACGTGATCCTGTATAAGAAGCTGTATCATCTCTGCGCTGCTAACAATTCAGATATTCTTCTTGCTAACAAACTGGTTGGAGGCATACCTTTGGAGTGATTTTCATTCCGTTGACAAGTTAGTGTGGTGGAGCAGATCTTCAACAGAAGCACAGAGGCAGTTGAATATGTTATTTAAGAGATACTTGGACTGTCATGATTCTTTGTGTAAATCCAAGTTCTAGTTACAGAAATCACATGTTACAATATTAGCTTTCAGAAAAGAGCAATATCTTACTACAACGGGCAGGCATAGTTATAGAAGATCTAATGAAGATTTTACGATTGTACTATCATTCTCTACTAGAGTCCAACTTAACAATTTTCGGATTAAATGGACCTCGATTACAATTTATTATTACACCAAATTGTTCTGAATATCAACGATGTATCTACATCATGCACATGATTCTCTAGTCGCGCTAACTATCCGACTGGAGTAATCAGGGTTGTCACCAAGCCTTCAAATCACTGCATAATAGGTTATGTGGCTTATTGTTCGTAGGTAAACGGATTAAAATTTTACAATTAACAGTTTATCGGTTTAGGGGCGGATTATTTATTTTTTTATAGGATAAACCGTTAACCTGTTAAGAATTATTATATTTATATTTTTATCCATTATGAAGCAACTTCTTAGCAGCTTGAGCTTCAACGTAACTTGTTTTTGGGGGTAGGACTAGGCAGATCTAGATAGTTTGATATCTTTCGGCTCAGATAAATCATTTAACTTGGTAACTGAAGCAAAACTATATCTAGAATTTATGTTAATTGAACTTCTATTATTGATTAAGGATCCCAAATTTGTATTTTAGCTTGCTTATTATAAAAGAATTAAAGAAGAAACTACCATTAGCAATGAGAGCTTCATTAGCGTACTTGATTGTGATTATGATTGGATCGTCCATCTATTGTTTAATGTCTTACTTATCAATGTAAATTTTTTTGTCTATTTGATTTAGCTGATAAACCGCTCGATAATCGCTAATCCGATATCAATCCGCTCAATATTTTATCGGGTAACTAACAGATTAGTACATTTACCAGTCAATAACCGATAAATCGAACCGTTAAGCGTAAATATTCGCTCGATAGCCCTAATGTCAATGTTAACTACTTTTTTGTATGCCTCTTTGTTTTTTCAGATATTTAATTTTTTCTGTTTTATTTAAGTTAATTTGTCACCAGAAAATGCCACCCACTTAGTACTGACCAAGTCTCTATTTGGACTTTGCTCTCATCTTAGTGGGTAACCATGAAGCCATTTTATCAATGTCAAGAAATATGTCACATTGCTGTATAAAACCAGAGCTCCCTTCTAAACTATGCAATACAAGTTTTCTAAGTTCTCTCCTTTTCTTCTCCAATTACAGTTGGTTTGCAGATCAAAATGAGAAGCTTAATGAAACTGGGGCAATGGCCTCTACTTGCACTTGCTTTGGCAATTTGCTTAGCAGCCAACTCTGTTTTTGCTGATTACTCTTATGGGTATACTTCTCCCTCATCTTCTTATAACTCTAAGAAGTACTACAAATCACCATCTCCATCTAAGTATCATGTACCCACCACTCCTTACTACAAGAAACCAGAAAAATCTGTTGAAAACTACAAATTGCCTGTACCTTCAAAGCACGACTATTACAAATCGCCATCACCAGTAAAATATTACAAATCTCCATCACCGGTGAAATATTACAAGTCAAAGCAATACTACAAGTCACCATCACCGATAAAATATTACAAGTCACCATCGCCGGTTAAGTACTACAAGTCGCCTACTCCTTCAAAGTACTACTACAAGTCACCATCACCGATAAAATATTACAAGTCACCATCGCCGGTTAAGTACTACAAGTCGCCTACTCCTTCAAAGTACTACTACAAGTCACCATCGCCAGTAAAGTACTACAAGTCGCATGCTCCTTCAAAGCAATACTACAAGTCACCATCCCAAACAAAATATTATAAATCGCCTGCTCCTAAATACTACAACTCACCGCCGCCAACAAAATATTACAAGTCACCAATTTATTACAAGTCTCCACCACCACCACCTTATTACGGAAAATCACCTTCATACTATAAATCACCTCCACCTCCTCCTAAATACTATGAGAAATCACCTTCATACTACAAGTCGCCTCCACCTCCACCAAAATACTACGAGCAATCACCATCTTCTTACAAATCTCCACCACCTCCATCAAAATACAATGAGCAACTATCTGCATACTACTCTTCGCCGCCACCAGCACCATCAAAATACTACGAGCAATCACCAATTAATTATAAGTCTCCACCTCCACCTTATTATGAATCACCACCACCTCCACCAAAGACCTATGAACAATCGCCATCATACTACTCACCTCCACTTCCAACAAACTACGTTAAACAAATTCCCAACTTTGCCTCACCTCCACCACCTAAAAAGTACGAGCAATCTGCTACCTATGTTTCACCTCCACCCCCACCAGCCTACTACTAATATTCAAATCCTTCACTTCCATAATTTTCCACAACTTCCTTAGCATTTAACTCATTTTCATCCTTCTATTTGGAGCAATTCCATTGCCTCTGCCAAATGTTTTTTGTATGCTTCCCGAAATGATCGGCTTTGCTTGCTTTTGTGTTCTTTTCTTGTAATAATATGTAACTGTATTATTTGAGATTTAAGTAAGATCCTCGAGATCTCCATCTGTTTGGCTCGTTGAATCAAAATATTCTTTTGGTGTATTTCTTGAGAATTATATTAATGCTCATTACTATCTTCTTCCTTGTCTAATATTATTTGTGCTAATCGACTGAATTCTCTATCAGATCTCTGAGGTTGAGAGAGATCATCCCTCGCGGTGACCAGAACAGAGATTTACACAATCAAGTAGTTAGGACGAATGGTTATTTATATGTAGGAGTCTTAGATCTATGCACTAACTGTAAAAAGAGTTGCGCGATCAATCACTTAAAAGGAAATTACAAGTAAATCTCCGATAAACATCAATTTGTAACATGATAAAATAAGTAATATGCCATCACAGGTTAAATTACACTCATATGCAAATAATCTTTATATTGTCCGTGTATAATAACCTTTATTTTTTATGTCTCAAGATGGAGGATGATAGAAACTAAGGGTCCACCAAACTATATAGAGAACCAAGTTCTCTATTAGTTCCCACAGAACACACGCACACTGCAGTAGGTAAATGACACAAAGAAGTTTTACGCGAAAAACTCCCAGCTCACGGGATTAAAAATCACGACCTACCCTTGTAGGATTTCAACTTCACTACTGAGCAAACTTTAGATTACAACCTATTGTAACCTAGGAATTAACCTTTTAATCCCTCACTAACTTGTAATAACTCTATTACAAGACACTTTGTAATAACTCTATTACAAGACACTTTGTAATAACTCTATTACAAAGACTTACAACTCGACTAACTCTAGCCAAGACACAAACACAAGGGTTTATGATTTACAAAGGTTTCCTACATAATGCTTCTAACTAAGCTAAGTAGGAATTACAAGTAAAGAACTTTAACAAAGGTGCAACACAACTAAGGACATGTAATAACTCAATACAGGGAACTAGTCCATTGTTATGTTGTTCTTTGTTCTTGATGCTCTTGAGAATCGCTTGCCAAATTGATTGGTCACTTGAGAGAGGGATTGATGGATTCTTCCAAAAGTTCAAGTGATGTTTTGCCTTTGGTTTAATGTTAATATAACATTGGTGACGTCACTTGAATGATGCAAGCATGTTTGGTACAGGAGCATTCCCAATGAAGTTGACTGTTGCACTGTTGCGTGTGCAGGCAGCAACTTTACAGTTGTTGGAGAGTTGACTGGGTACGGTCACCAGGGGAACTGATGTCCATCTGTTCCCTTTGTTGTTTCTTTGTCGACTGAAGAGTTGATTTACATCTCCAGCTTGAGACTTATTATTCCCACGTACTTGAGGGTGTGTATCAGGTTCCTTATCTGGTTCTTGTCATTAAGTTTGTTAGATCATCAAAACATAACAAGGTACATATAACATATCAGAGGAGTTGGTCAATGTACTAAGGGGGTACCACTGTACCAATATGTACAATGTTTAAGTTTATCAAAAAATGAGAGAGAATCCCAATAGTCCCGTAGAGTGTGAAGGAACTCAAAAGGGCAATTGAAGTACAAGCATTTATATACAAGTGTGTGTATAGCTGCTACTGTGTTCTCAAAACGAGGAGTGTTTCTTTCCTTCCATATTACCCATAGGATGCGAGCAGGCATGGTGCATCAGAATATCTTGAGCTTTTATCCATTTTCCTCCCGAACCAGCTAATGAGAGCTTTCCTTAGTTCTCCTGGTATAGTTGATTTAACATCAAAGTGACAGGATCCATTGCAATGCCTGAGTATCTATTGAGCAGTGCAGAAAGTGATCATTGATATCCCCCACGAGTTACAGGAGCAAAGGTTAACATCTGCTGCACAATGCAAAACCTCTTCTCTGCAGATCAACTAAACCAGGCAACTGACCATGAAACAGACAACCTTGAGGGTAGCCATGATGCAACAAATTACAACAACTTCGTTAGTCCCAAGCCATGTCACTACATTTACAGCTGAGCTTCCACTCTTACTGCTCCTCGTATAGCTATCCTCCTATGCTGTTTTTACATCTACAGTACTAAACACGCAATGATAATCAGCTATTAGATGGATGCATAAACATAGATAGAAGAAAGTTCATCTTCATGTTGTGAAGGAATTATGAAGACAGAAGAGATGAGTCTGATATTTAATGTGCTTACCTTATGGAGCATGTTTCTATTCCTTTGGGTTCAAATTTGTTCGTGTACACATAGAATTTCTTAGATTGCCTTCATTGCAAGGCAACACAGAGTTTCCCTTGTGCGTGGATGTGCAGAATTCTGAAGCTGCAACAAGTCTGTCAGAATTTGTGCATACATACCACAGTAAACGTTTAGAGCAAGTTGATGTAGAGAAGTGTTAAGAGTAAACGTTGAAAGCTATGTATAGTAGCACTTCTCTACAATCTGATGGTAGCCAACAGGAAACTTTCAACGTGCTGACAACATGGTGGGATTGAAAATAAATAAATAAGAAACTACATCATAGCTTGAAGAATGAAGATAAACTTACAGAAGACTGCTAGAAGCAGCCAATCATTGAACTGCGATGTTACCTTTTGAAGCCAATAATGGAATCATATCACATGAAGGCTTGAAGCCACCAATCAGGCATCTCATTGGCCAAACTCAATTCAAACTCAAGACTTTAAGGGCAAGAAGTGCATACCTCAACCTCAAACATTTAAAGGGCTTTGTCATTTAGATGGACTAGAAAGGAAGGATGAAAAAGGAAAAAAGCCCCACCAACATACAGAAATGCACTAACAAGCAAACAACTAAGAAAGAGTAACAATTTGATATGCTAGTGACAGTAGACTGCCCAAAGAAAATCAATACTTGAAACATGATGTTAGAAAGCAGCCAATAACGGAAGCATATGTCACTTGAAGCCACTGATCAGGCATCACATTGGACAAAACGTCAGATCAACCTCAACAACTTTAAGGGAAAGAGTGCATGTCTCTCTATATTTTTTCGTTTGTACAGGAGGAATGCACTTAACACGTCAACATAGGAACAAGAAATACAATGTCCTCTTGACTTGAGATAGGAAAAACAATTGCTGCCTTTATGTCGCAAATGTCGATTCATGAAGAGACAGAAAACGGGAAAAAGCTTTGGAGCTGAAAGCACTCATTAAAGGTCAGAATTTGGGTCACTAGATAACTTCTCAGTCTTACAATAGTACAAAGCTGTTGGAACTATATGCTTTATTTCATGAAAACATTTCATAGAAAACCCTACCTGTAAAATGAAAAATGACTTAAGACCAAGAGCTTGTTAAACAATATCTATGAGTAATTTATGTAAACATGTCCCTCAAGGGACCAATCCTCCTAGAATACAAATCTCACCCCACACATATCCGACAACTTCCTACAATATTCACATGCTTAGTCCTTTGACAATTCCAACGGATTCTTCATTTCATGGGAAATCATGACAAGGACCTCATCATCAAATTAGACGCGAAAAGCCAGAAATCTCCACTTATCCATCAGATAACAAGTTGATGGCGATGAGTTGTTTATTCAGAAGCGCAAGCACAGACCTTCTCAAGTAGTGTGGACCAATCTCCCCCAAGTATACGAGGATTTCTCTCCATTGCCACTCGAAAATCCAACATCCTTGCACATGAGGATTTTGTTTGTCTTTCTGTATGATTCCCAGGATATTGACCATACCATCCAGGCAGTATTTGGGCATTACGATGTCTGAGTTCATTTCTATGTTGTGAGCCAGCCAGTCCTATGCAAGGTTCAATCAGTCTTTTCAAGAATGCATCTAAACTATTATTTAGCAGGTTAGCACAGTCCAATGATATGCCAAGCCCCTCCGCCTCTAACTTCCGCTCCAAACGGCTTCTTAGTGATCTACTACCAGGCAATTCTCCACGGTATTGACAAGTCTCCAAACTAAAGTTATATATAGATCCACTATGGAGAGCTTTTCGAGCACCACCTGCATTCACAGAAATTCCAAAAGGGGCAGTGACAGGGCTTCTGCTTTGTATGCTTGGACTTCCAGCACATTGTTCAACTTCTTCCCCGTCTTCTACAGATACAACTTCAACTGGAGGTCTGCTACCAAGAGAATGCAATTCTGTGGCACTTTCCTGTTCTTGTATCCTAGGCGTTGCTTCTTCACAAGTAATAGTAGGACTCTTCCCAAGTGGTCCAGGAGGACTAGGACGGTCCCGGAACCTTCTGTCTCTACTTACTGGAGACCTGGTTTTGCGAGGTGATGAGGGAAATGCATCACCATGGAGAGACTGCAGACAACTCCTCTGATAACCATTCCCGACTCTGATGCTGAGAGATTCTTCAACCTTTTTAGGTTTCGGTGGAGGAACCTTAGCCAAAGAGGCATTTTTCAATATGGATAGAAGGAGACGATTATGTAGGTGGATATTCTCTCTTCCAATGGTACGAATGCAAGACTTATCGAAGTCAACCTTGCTAAGTTTTGAGCTAAAAAATCTTCTAAGCTCATTGAAGTACTTTTCAGCTCTCTGCTGTCCAATCTTCCTACATATTAGATTTCTGAGCTCTAATGTATCAACTCGAGTATAATGGTGGTTGGTCACCATGTTCACTTGAAACTCCTAACACACAAAATGCGAAGACCTTCGTGAATTCCAGCAAAGAACAGAAACAAATAGCATCATTTACTACCAGATACCCAATAATGCATTTTCCTAGTTTACATTGTAAAAAAGTCAACTTTTCCGGACAGATCAAAGGAAGGTAATTAAGTTGAAAGTCCACACTTAATTACCAATTAGCAGAATCTATGAATTAACTAGACCAAGACAATGTCAGCAATTCTTTGCTAGTTCCAAATTAAAATATGAAACCAATATGCATTCAAGATGAAGTTTTTACCAAATTTAGTAATTTCAAAGTACAATTAACCTCATGAACAAAAGTTAAGATTAACCATTTGAGATTACTATCAAGGAAGTAAAATTTATAAGAGAAAAAGGAAGCTAAACCCAAATTCAGATTAAGCGATCGAGGATCATAAAGAGCGAAAGCAGATAAGAATTAAGCAAAGAATAAAAGAATCTAACAAAAACTAAAGACAATTTTAACATTTGACAAGAATTAAAAAAAACCCTTTTGATGATAAAACGAGAAGATTAAAACCCAATTAACGAAACTGAATTGAATTAATGGCAGGAATGAAACAGAGACATAGAATAGGAATTGACCTGTGGGGGTCGAAGCGACGTCCAAGGTGTTTACTCAAAGCTGTCTCTTTTTTTTTTTTTTTTTTAAAATGTCTGTTTGAGGTATGCTTTTGCGATCTTGTCTGTCTTTTGTATATACTAATTTTTGTGGGTTTGTGTGGGGAGTAATGAACATAAGCCAAACACGAACTATTTTCTCATATATGTAAGCCTTAATTACACACGTGCGACTTTTGTACGTCATGTTTATAAAATGAAAGTGAATGATCACGTCTCATTAGGCCGTGTTTGGCTGTTTTGTATAAGGATCAACACGGTCCCGTTTTCTTCCTCAACCAAGTGGCGGCAAGTTTAGGCGCCGGTACAAGACTGACAATGGAGTTCTATGTATATTTGGAGAAGTTTTTATATTAATACCCCTTAATAACTAATTTTAAATATACTACGTACTTTGCTTCCATTTGATCCCAAAATAGTATCCATATGTTTTTTACTTGCTTCACATATATTTCGAATTCTAGCATTTCTTTACAAAACTAACCTACCACAATGGTAAAATGGTTCTCCATAGGGAACGGTGGCAGATAGGCGGGTTGGGTTGAATTTGGACGGGTCAAGATGGGCTAGGTCAATAAATGAGTCATTGTCCAACCCAGCCCAAAGTGTACTTGGGCTAAGATATGCTGGGTCAAGATGGGCTAAACAATGTATCATAGCCCAACCCGCTCAACTTGACCCATATTTTAGAATCATGCTCATCTTGCATAAACAAAGCTTTTTACCTTTATGTATAAAGGGTAAATAAATACTATTAGTATTTTGAGAATCAAAATATATTTTCTTAAATAACAAATTAGTATNGTAACTAAGTAAATTTCTAGATAAGTTGGGTTGAAATCTCTTTGTTTTGGGATGAGCTTCATGAGCTGTAATTGGGTTACTTCATGGGTCAGAATAAGTTATAAAAAATAATGGGTTAACTTGGGCTCGACCCAAATTGACCCATGAGCTAAAATGTTATAGCCCAGCCCATTAATCTCTGGGCGAGTTGGACGGGTCGAATGAGTTTGGGATCAAATTACTCCAGTATCCATAGGTTGAACATGTTTCTTTTAACATAAATATCTATGCAAATCACATTTCAAAGCCAAGATGAAATAGGCTTAAAGTACAGGGAAAAATAGTCCAAGTAATGTGCTTCTTGTGTCAGAGAAAAAAACCATTATTTTTATATAGTACATGATTGATCAATCTGTTGACCTCCTTCAACAATATGCATGATTTGCTAAACTTGTTTTCTGTGAGTACTAATATAGTAATATGAAATAAATTAGCTGTTGTTGATTAAAGAAGGTGATAAACCAATAATCGTACACCAGATAAACTAAAAATATGTATGTTAGCGGATTATTATTATTATTATTATTATTATTATTATTATTATTATTATTATTATTGTGAATAGGAGATCAAAAACTTCAAAGTCTAACCAAATAGCCCTTCTTGACATGAAAGTACAAGAGTATATGGTATCACCTGTTTCAGTTGGCGACTAATGGCTTAAAATTTGAGGTAAAAATACCACCATTAATGCCATCCTTCAAAAAAAATAAAGTTTTTACAATTGTCAAATTAAAAAAATAAGAAAAAGGCAGGTGGAAAAGGCTCCGTGGTTGAAGAGAAAGAGCAAGTGCCCGAAATGTACACATTGCAGCTATCCAATTTAGTTAGACTTCATTTTGAACTTCAAAAATGTGGCTTGACAGGAACAAACTTTGCACGTAAAGAGGATCCAACTGCATTACTCTTCAGTTCTACAATCCAAAACTTCTAAACAGATGCTGAGATAGTTATCAATCAATTTTTAGTGAACAACCTAAAGAGTTAGATCAGGATCTGCAGTTCACAAGAACTTTGTACAGATGTAATATTCTTATTCAACACTGATTGCTGCCTACACATTTCACAGATGCCTACTTAGGTAATGCGCTGAGTTAATAGATACATCTTCCCCATATGTAAATTAATGACGAGTCTTCTTTCTTTTATGGCATATCTTAGTTAGCTTGAACTTTCTCTGTATCCCTTCTGATCCAATTGTAAAATATATGAATGTCTTCTACACTAGTTCTGAACTTTCTATTGTCAATGTTTCAGAATCTTGAATTTTTTTCGACTCCGCAAGTAGGCTAAGAAATGCTTCATCAGAAACACCTGGCTCATGCGCTTAAGGTCCTGACAGGTCCTCCAGATCATTAGGTGACAAGTTTGTTTCTTCTGGTCAAAGTTAATGCCCTTCGCAAAAAAGAAAAGATGCCAATAACTATGGTTTAGCATGTGATACTCTACATACAACTCGCAAGAGCAAGCATCTCTTTTTTTTTTCTTTTCTTTTCTTTGATAAGGTGAAGATTGCAAGAGCAAACATCTCTTTGAAATACATTTTGGTAACTATGTGAGCGTAACTAAGATAAAGTGGAATACTACTATTCTTCTGGGTTTAGAGGAGACTTGAAGCTCTAATATCTATGAAAAGGTCTTGTGAACAGAGGCGGATCCATGATTTAAAGTTTATGGGTTCCTATAACGACCTTAAGTAAATATACAATAAGTAACTGGGTTCACAATCAAATATTTATGAATATTTAGTGGATTCTTAATACATATACAGGGTATATGCAAAACTACTGGGTTCACGGGAACCCACATGTAATAGGCTGGATCCGCCCCTGCTTGTGAACTACAAGTGCTTAAGCATTAAAATTGTAGTACAATATGTGAAGAATCAATGGGATATCTGTCAAACCTTGAAGCAAATATAGAAGGAAGCATTCCCATTTCACTCATTCCAAGAAGCTGGAAGACATCACTGCTCGTTTCAGCTTTAAATAAATCCATATTAGTCATTGCAGCAGCAGCCTGGATCCACCATTTGGCGAGAAGCCAACAATCAGCATTCCAACTTTTGCGAAACCATCAGTCCACTCACTAGGAATTAGATCCAAAGCTCCTGTTGCTGAAAGAAGTCAAATAAGACATGAAGAAACCACAAAAACGACGGGCCTAAGCAGTGCCTTTAGAAACATTCTACCAGGGTAGTCTACCTCCCCTGCTACAGTACTGGCCTTCCCAACACATGGTATTGATGAATCCCCTCAATTCCACCTTGAAATCCACAATAGACCACTGACTTAGCTTAATCCCAGGAATTGAGAGAATTGCCATTACAGGAAATCAAAAAAGTGAAAAACTTGCAATAAAATAGCTGAAAACCTAAGAATATGCAGGCCTCTATCATTCAACTATTGCAGAGATTGTAAGTCTCAATATGGATGGAATTCTTTCGATGTAAGTGATTAAAGATGGGAATTGAATGTTTCAGGTGATCAAGGAACAATATCGGGTAAATAGCATAATCTGTGACACCACTAAGTCATTCCCAAAAGCCTTCTTGAAACCCCCAGAAAGGGCCAAAAGCTGATGAAATCCAAATACATATCCACCATTTTCAGGAAAGCATCTGTAACTAGAGCTTCAGATATGCTCGAAAATAAAGGGAGAATCAAGAAGCCAAGCAAAGATGTGCACACTGATCTCACTGAATCTTCAACAGCTGAAACTTCATAGAAAATCAAGCATAAAAGGCAACAAAGTTAACCTTGGATTTGTCATATTACTTGCATTGTTCTTGGTATCATTCACCATTCCCTCCTCATCTATCCACTGATAATCCGAAATGGGGAGTTGCAGTCTATTAAAAAGCTCCACTTGCCATGGATCCACTTCAGAGGAATTATGAATGGATAAACTGCATCTCACAAACTTAACTAAGGTTTGCAAGCTGCAGCTCCTTTAAAAACATTCAGAGAAGTCTTTGAAGTACTATACCTTGGTCCTCCAGGATTCAAATTCAAGGATATGAAATGGTTGCTCTGATGATGAATTTGATCATGGAGCATATAAGTTGAAAATGAATAAGTTCTGAATGCCAATAATATGTAGAGAACATTAGAACATGATGTATTATTTTTCTTCTTTTTCTTTCCCATTTGCGGAGAAATCAGACAAAAAATTGTTTATTTGGTTAACAGCTTGAATATATACTAACAGATCTTTTAAAAGAAAAACATCAATGGTGACAGCACAACAGAATCCGAAACAACATAACAGGAACAACCCAAAAGTGATAGACATAAATATTAACGCATAAGCGTTCGTCACTTAAAAGTAGGCTCTACCTCTACAGACCAACTACAAAAGCACTAATCGCCCATGACTTCAGAATCATATAAATCACAGTGCAGATTAGGTATATGTTTCATATTGGAATATAAAATGTGCACTAATCGAAAATGCCAAAGAGTATCCTGAGAATAAAGGATTTTAAGAAGAGACAGTAGTTGAAACAATTTTATTTATGCACAAATTTGATTGTACATTGGTGGAAGTAACTGCGGACTTATCTATATATTTTCAGGTATACTGGAATGAACAGAAGATGTAAACGATGAAGTGGAAAGGCAGGCATCGTGAGGGAACTGCAACACGTATAGTCCATTTGTAGCTTACTTTGTCTGATTAAAATGTGTTGGAAATCCATGGATCTTGTAGCATTTATCAATAGTATGACCTTGTTTCTTACAGTAATTGCACTCCACATTCATTTTTCTAGCATCATTCTTCATTTTCTGCCCAGATTGCACTTCCCTTTGCAAGCTCTCTTCTTGAAGAAGCAGAGAGTACGCTTGATAGAGCGATGGCAAGGGACTCATCATCAAAATTCTTCCTCTAACCCTATCGTAAGACTCATTTAACCCCATAAGGAATTGAAACAATTTTTTATCTTCTTCGGCCTTGTAAAATTGCAACTTAGTACCACATTTGCACTCACGGATACATTTCATGTGTATATTCAAACTATCTAATTCACTCCAGATACTACTCAATTTTGTGAAATATATAGCTATGCCGCTGCTTCCCTGTTTCAGTCCTACTAACTCCTTATATAATCGGAACATTTTGAGTCCATATGGTTCGTCAAACCTCAATTCCAACTTATGCCACATATCCTTCGCAGTTTCTGAATATATCACACTAGTTGCTATTTCATTAGACAGAGAATTTAATATCCATGACATGACCATAGCGTCGCACCTGATCCAAGCTCCGAGCAATGGCGATTCGGCACTCGGCATAGGGCAGCTGCCATCGACGAAGCCAACCTTGTTCTTCACGGTCAAAGCTAAGAGTAGAAGCCGTCTCCAAACACCATAGCCTGATCCATCGAACACCGAGTCTGAGCTCACTAGTCCCGTCCCTGTGGTCTCGAATTCGTCGAGATAGTAAGGATGAAAAAGATCGATTGTAGGTCGTGAAATATCCTCCATTTCAGAAGAAGAAAAATGCAGCGATTCAAATAAAATCGTGATTCTAAACTAGAGTTGAACGAAATTGATTTGTGTGAATCCCTGTTTTACGAAGAATTAAACTTCAGAAATCACAGAGATCTTATCGATTAGAAGCTACGATTACATGATAAAGGTTCAGATCCGAATCTCTGAAAGAACATTCTAGAGAGAATTCATGTGAGCGGGAAAAGATATATTCATCGAAATGAGAGTATGAGACTACAGTGGTTATATAGGAAAAAAGAAATTGACTAATTACTTAAATTCCATACCTGACACGTGTCAATATCTCATTGAAGTGAGCTAAACTAAGCGAAGCAATTAACTGTCCTAAATAAGTGGATTACAGCTGTACAAGTTCTTCGCAACTATGGTTCTCTGAAATGCTCAATTTGACTAAAATTAGGTTCAAATTCACCTGAAATAGAGGCCCAGTTGTCAAATCTATTTGGGCCTATAGATTACAAATAATAAGGGCCGATTATGGGATTTGAATGGGCCCGTTGAAAGCAAGATTACCAGTTTAGGCAGCATTACTAATCGTGAGAAATTGATAAAGATGAATTTTTAAGAAACCACTATTGTTTAGTGGTTATTAACTTCCTATAACAAGCATGTACATAATTACTTTCTCTAACTATTATTTAGTTATTACGTAACTGTATTCGATGTATTCGCGCTACTGTATTCATGAATACAGTAGCAAAATTCACCTAAAAAATAGGGGGAGTCTAGATGTGCGACTTTATTCATTGGATTCGCGCTACTGTATTCACGAATGTAGTAGCGGAATTCGCCTAACAAATAGGGGAATCCAACTGTTTAATAACGGAAAGAAAATAATTAGTGTATATCACTCCTAATTTAACTCAACAAAATCAATTCTACATAAATTTCGCTGCTACGCGACTATAAACGTTGTATTCGTGCTACTGTATTCATGAATACAGTAATATGGGAATCCAATTGTGCGACTGCATTCATTGTATTCGCGCTACTGTATTCATGAATACAGTAGCGGAATTCGCCTAAAAATAGGTGAGTCTGGTTGTTTAATAACAAAAAGAGGATCAATTAGCATGTATCACTCCTAATTTAACTCAACAAAATCAATTCTACATAAATTTCGCTGCTATCGTGCCGTATTCCATGTATTCGTGCGACTATATTTATAAATACAGTGAGATAATCAAGAAATAGGGTGTATACTGTTATATTCAATTCGATTGTATACATTATATTCAATTCAAAGATATTTATTATTCACTACTATATATTGTATTCAATTCACCGTATTTAATTCGACTGTATTCAAACAACAAAATATCACAAAAATATAGTGATATTCGACTGTATTAAAAAAATACAGACCTTAAGAATACATAAAAACAGGCTAAAAATGTATTTATATAAAAAATACAATGTATTTGAGTATATTTGTACATAATACAATGTATTTGTATAATTGTATATGACTAAAAAAGCAAAGAAGAGAAGAAAGTTCGTTGGAGATGGCTTTTTCCGGCCAACCAAAATATTGTATATATTGTATTAAAACTAAAAATAGAGACGAACAACAACCCGGCCCTTACGAGCGCAAAACACACATTTAAATATGCTCGCTAGTCGAATATAGTATAATATAATATCGTATCTACATGGATTGGAGTTAAACAGTATTTTCGTAGTTTATAGCTTGATTGCTATCCAAGATGATCAACAATTGAGATTTATGTAATTAAAACTAAAATTAACTAAGAGTCTAAACTATTGACTAATGACAATTGCAACAATGAGTAAGGAAAGATATCAATGGGAGAAAATAGGGTTTTGAAGGAATATGTGCAAGATAATTATTTGGGATCTAACTTTAGATAATTCACTTCTAATGTTCAAGTGAGTCTTTCGAATTCACTCAATAATTAGTTCACACGTTTAGAAGAAACTCCTCTCTCGATTAAGTCTGAGCCTCGCAAGATGAACTAAGTTAAGCTCAGTGAAGATATGTAAGAATTTGTAGTGGATTGGTCTTTAGGAGAACCTCTCTCGATTATCCTCCTAACTAAGTTTTATCAACAACTCAACTAGCCTCTTTCGATTACTAAGAAGAATCAATGAATTCAACCCACAAAATATTATGCACAAATATCACAAGTTATGCCTCTCTCGATTACATAAACTAGTGAATATAGATGCAACAATTAAAACATCCAAAACGATTCAATACATAAAAACTAGAGTCATAACCCACAAACAAGTATTAATACACCAAATCCATCAAACCCTAAAGAGAACTACTCCATAGATATGGAGTAATTCATCACAAATAAGTTTAAGTTAAAGGAGAACATAAACGATCCAAACTCTTGTCTTGAATGAGGACCGAATGATGAAATCCTTGTGCTCTTTCTTCTCCTATTTCTCCTTAGCCTCCTTAGGTCTTAGATGTGTCAAAAGTCCAAAAAATACTATTTTTCATGTATATATACCAAGTAGGATCGGGCCTAAACGAAAACACCTTTTCCTACACAAAATAGGACAATTTCGAGATTGGACGTGCGCGGCTGCGCACTTGGAGGTGTGCTCGCGCATATGGCCGTAGACTTTGAACAGTGTCCTGCTTGCCTTGCGCGCCCAGTGCACGCTCGCGCACCTGGGTGGCGTCCTGCTCAATTCTTCGTTTCTCTCGTTAAGTGCACTATTATCCGTTGATCCCTGAACACGATTCCGACTTAATCCTTGGGCTTTTACTCAAACTTTAAATCTCCAAAATAGCTTGAATTTATTCCAAAATATCTACATAGCTAAGAATCACTCCTACAAGGCATAAAACACACAATTAGTGCAAAACACTAGCAATTAAAGCTCAACTCAATCAAAGTCCAGTAAATTAGAGTGCAATAAGCGACTAAAATACGAGATTATAGCCTACCATCAACACCTCACAGTTAAACCATTGCTCGTCCTCGAGCAATCAAACTACACTTTATAAAGACACGACCTTTTTAAACAACTCTCATAACTCATCATACCAAGAGTATTTAAGATAGACTAAGCACAATAGTGTAACGTCCTAGTCTCAAGATTTGACTCACAAGTACCACACATTATTTATAACCCGCTCACTTACTCCAACATAGAGGTCAACGATATTACCTTTCCTTCATGAATCAAGTGCCCTTACACAACAAAAGATAGTAGTTCCACACACATTAGAGATTAAGAACAACTAGGAACTCAAGATAGAAAGAATTCATTCACTCTCAGAAATAACATTCATATGCCGCAAAAGATGAACCATAGGCTTGCCCGTAGCATACTACTCTACTAATTGAGCTCATTTAGTAGAGGATTAAGTAGGACTTTAATTGGTTGTAATGTAAGCTGCGGGACGGGTAGGATACATTTAGATATAATAGTGACTACACCTCCCTAAGCACTTTAATAGATACATTTTACCTTCCAAACCCCACACTTATGTCAAACCATAACTACACATCCATATCAATATATATTAACTCCCTACTTCTTTAAGCAAAATTACATCAAGAGTTGCCACTATGAAGGAATATTTTTCACAACCATACAATAAATTATTTTCCTTTCTTTTTCAATTCAAGTGGCTCTTACTTTTTTTTAAAAAAAACAATGCACATTTCTCCTTATTTCAATAGCTCCACTCAAAAGCCAAACCAATCACCCCCACACTTCAACTTTTACACAGTTCATAACAATTTCAAGTGCTCATGAGAGATACAAGGTTCAAATAGATGGTCAATTTAGACAAATGGGTAAGGCTTGTAATGTGGGTGCCAAAGAAACATGATTACAGGATTAAAGGGGTTAACTAAGATACATACCAATTAGGTGGGTGAAAGCATATAACTGGCTCAACAAAGAAATGCCTATATCACTTCCAAGACTGAACATAACTACTATTTCGCTTTGCAAACACACGGGACAAGTTCTAGACATCAAATGCCATGCACAGAATAACATAAAATCCCACACACACATGGCACATAACTCACTCAGGATCGGACTCATCAAGACACTCTAGTCAAAGCAGTTATGCAAAGTTAAGATCATACAATTTAAGGTACTTATACAAGAGTCAAAAACTGAGCATAAACATCACAACTAAAGCATTCACTATTCTCAAGGCAGGATAGACTCAAGATATATTGCTTTCATTTCAAATCATAGCACAAGGTTTTCTACTACTAACTAAAGTAAAAACTAACTACACCCGGTTCAAACAAAACCCTTGGAAAAGAACCGCGGCACAAAGAAAAACCAAGGAAAAATTATTACACTACCTTCAAAAGAAATTTTTTTGTCTTTTTCCTTCGACTTAATCCCTCAAGAAATCTATCGAATGATATCCATCGTCGGGAAAAATAAAAATAAAATAAAATTTTTATGGTTTTTGTTTTTCGATTTTTTTTTTTTAACTATTAAAAAGCAAAACAAACTAAAACTAATATACATACAACATACAAATATCCCCCACCCCCACACTTTAAGTTGTGGCATATCCCCATGACACACAATTAAAAAGCATAAGGTAAAGGAAACTTCCCTGAATATCTAGTCGGGGTCTGAATCAAAGTCGGGCTCCATTCTTCTTGCCTGAACTAGTGCGTACATCCATGCAAACAGTTTCTTATCAGCCTTCTTGGGGTACACCCCACACTTATCTTGTTCACTAACTGTAGCCTTCTCTTTTGAGCTCTTCACCTTCCACTCAATACTTGCAGCTGGCTTCTCCTTTTTCACCTCCGTCTCTACATTCATCTCGAAAGTCACCATCTCCTCACCCACTCTAAGCATGGTTTTTCTATCATGTATGTCTAATATTGCTCTGCTCGTTGCTAAGAATGGTCTTCCTAAGATGAGGGGGACCTACATATTCTCCTCCATTTTTACCACTATGAAATCTATAGGAAATACAAACTTATCTACCCGAACTAAAACAT